TAATTTAGTCAATTGTACAAATATTGAGGTCAAAKTATGTGTTGGTCACTGAGGGTAGTGCTAACTGATCACACAAGATCTGTATTTTAAAGTTTGTCATTAAGCAATTATCTCTTAAACACGATCAAAACTACTTTTTGGCAGAATATAAGATTGYACGACTTGGTTAAATGGACAGTTTCTGCTGTGTATAAATGCTTTGCCAAAAAAGAAAGTACAAAATATGACTATAAATTGATCAAAATGGCAAAACACCTTCTGGGGACAGTAAAATAAGCATAATCAACAAACCATCTAATAAAGCTTGGAAACATAAAGTATGAAGCTTGTCCACAATATAAATATTACCAATTTTAAAGATACARAAACACATTGAACAGAAGGTTTATGGAAAGAGAGAGAGGATAAAATGCCGGGTTGTGTTGTTTTTGAATAAAACTACAGWAACGGTTGTAGCAAAAAGAAAAAGAAAGAAGAAGAAAAAAAACCTCACTGATAAATTTGATGCCACACCTGTGGAGCATGCCAAATCAGTGAAACCRTCTTACAATGAAAGCAGATGGCTGGGGAGTAGAAATATCAAATGTGGAACTTCTGTTTGCAGTTCACGCATTACATGGCTGCAGAAATGAGTTCACATTGTATAATGTGACTTTCTCTCTTCAGTTTTGTGCCTGCAGGTTCACATTTTCAGATTCTATCTCAGCTGCAGCTGGAAACAAAGCAAAATGACTTGAAAATTCTGTTTGGGATGACACAAACTGTTTTTACAGTATATATATATTTGTTTTCAGCTGCATAAAAAACAATCCAGATAACTTATTGGGATGCATTCAGGCAGCCTAAGTTGACATCTTTGTTTGGTACAGTGAGCAGTCATTGACAGAGCAAAACTGGAACAAAACTGAGATTTCAGTGTGACAAAAACTTCCATGGTTGACTGGAAATAAATATTTAAACCAGTTCTGCTACAAGTTATAAATATACATTTTCAATGTGGAGGCTTTTGGCAAGTCACAGACAAAATAAGCACAAATGAAAAGTTTTAGAGGCGTTGCTATTCTGCAAACATGAAATAAAGTACAATGTTCAACACATGACAGCTGAGTTAAAAACTAATTTAATAAGAWACATTTGATCCAAATAAAATACAAACCTATGAGTAAAGTCTGTGATGCAACATTTCAGCCTTGTGCCAACTGAATGATAGATTTATTTATTTCTGATTCATCTACACCTTTAATGCCAAAAAAGGAGACTTCAATGACGTGTCATCAAAAAAAGGCAAATTAACATTTTTTTTCACATTACAAAAACCATGCAGTCATGTGAACATTTTAAAAATCTTCCAATTTCACATGGAAAACACGCATACCTTTCACATAGTTCGCATTATTTACTGCCTTCCACCAACAGGTTGAAGTGAACCTTAATGTTTTTACCAGGTCTGAGTACCTGTTAGTTAGTCAAATTTCTCATGAACCACAGGACAACTTTTAATGAAACTTACAGGAAGTGCTTATCGGATCTCTAGCTGCAACTACTTCTCATTTGGAGTCAACACAATTCATGGTGGCTGCCACAGCTAACTGACCTGCAAAAACACTACAACAATGGTCATATTACAGATACTGAGCTACAATTTGAAACCAGCCGACAACACATGCTTTGAGCGTGACACTGTGCWTTAAAATACAATAATACAAACATTGCAACAGATTGTACAGAGCATGTGTATGTATGTTCAAGGTTTGACCAAAGCATCKATAATTCTGTCAGTTTTCAACAAAAAATGATCTCAGTATAAAAAACTCTGGCATAAAAAGACATGCTAGGCCTTTAATTCAGCACGTGAGGTTCCTGTGTTTTTTGTGGCTGTTTTTTATTTTACTTTTATAGGAGTGGCCCACTGTACAGATCACAACCACGCTGCTCTGTCCACCAGTGTTTTTCTCTCCTGACCCAGATGTTCACATCCGTGTATGTGACCTTTTGTTACAGCAGTGGGGGAGGAAAAAAGGGGCTATTTTAAAAYATTGTATGGTGGAGGGTGACCAAATGAACTTACTCTTTTTTTTGGAAACATAAAGATAGATGTATAGATAGATTTCTGCCCATTTGGAAGTGTGTGCAGGCGGGAGCTCCTCGCTGTGCACATCACAGCTCTGATGGGTGAAAGAGGCTTAGAGGAGAGAGGGTTAGTGAAAGAAGGAGGCACAGGAAGAAGAAAACACAGCATTATGGCATGCAATGAAGCAAATGGAGCTTSATTTTCAAGATGTGATTTGCTTCTACATCTATCACCTCCACTACAGGCCAAATTAAGCCTAAACAGATGCTGATGGGGTTCTCAAAGGGATACTGGGTAACTTGAACAGATGAATCAGCAAACGGCCATCGTCTTCTGTTTAACAAATTCGGAACTGACAGCACAAAGGAGACACATTTTTCTTCCCCAAAATGATCCTTCACAACGAAGGTTAGCACATTTGTCACTGCGTATTATGCTGCTACGCAGGAAATGAGCAAAATACAGATTAGTTTGACACAAAGTTAAAAGCATTTCGAATCACTGCACAGATTTCTCAGATGCCAAAATTTTGTCAGTTTATTTCTATAGATTAACTGAACATGATGTCTCAAGCTAAGCTTTTWAAATGGAATTTAGCTGCTTAGATCTGCGACATCTTAAGTGAATAATTTAAGAGGATTCTTTTTTTCCCACTGGAAAAATATTTGACATTCTTTAAACAATTCAAACATTGCTGAGATGTCATATCACAATAATGAAATTAAAACAAAGAAAAGAAAAACAAAGGAGCTACATCAGCCTCATGACTCAAGTGTGCACTAAATAAAACACTACTATATGAATAAGTCATCGGCTGAGTCATATTTTCCCGTTTGATGCTGAGGCACAAACGGTCAAACATTTTTCCCCTCACAGAATAAACTATTTTGTTCAGCTTTTTTCTTCTTCTATCAAAACATTCTTTCCCAGCAAATGGCTGCTTGAAGGAGAAGAGATGCTCCGTTCACATATTTTTGGGTTACGCTCCCTGTGGTGGTATGTTTAGAGAGAACGCCTGTAAAAAAAATAAAAATAAAAAAAGATGAGCTGAGGCGAATAGGCGAGGCTTTGACCACAGTACATTTTCAGCATATTGGGTTTGGGTTTATCAGATTTTGGCCTGTTGCATCTCTTTGCCGACGTAAATAAAAGGCAAACCACCTTCTCAGGGAGCCCGGTGCTACAGAATGATTTGTTCCTGCTGTGCAGGCACCGCAAACACTCTCTTTACTTGCACCTCTGTTTCCTTGTTCAGTTTAYAGCCTTAAAAAAGTGTGCTGCATGAAACACTCTTTGGTTACTGACGGTGTGGAAAGGGCCAGGAAAGTATCGAACCTAAATTAATAATACACAACAAAGTGAAGAGGAAAAATACAGTATAAGTGGTTTTAGCTTAACACAGCCCATTTTGATTGGGTGAAACTGAACTCTTCTAAAAATGTTGTTGCTTTCTTATATAATAATCGAGAATACTGCAAAAGTAAAATGATGTTTTAAAGTTACAAATATTTGTTAAGTAACTGTGTTTTTAATGCTTTTTTTTCTGAAAAGATACACATATGCATTAATATAACAATAAAATTTTAAATACAACCCATTAAAATCTGCTCATTATGAYTGCAGCTTTTACCATATGATTGCTTTTTGCAGTTTGGAGTTTTCGGAGTTAAAATTGTAACAGCTTAGGCTACTTGCCAATGTCACACTTGTATTCATTAGTTTGTTTCTGTCACTCTAACAAGTTTTAATGGCAATGTTAATTTACAACTTTATGCCTTTCTTAAATGGAATGAATRTTAACTGTATGGAGACTGCTTTTAACCACAGATAAGATTTAAATTTCTGTTTGGTTTATTTCTACTGCAGTTTGTTGAAAAATCACAGGCTTGAATGGTTTGGGTATGCATCAATCTGCCCTGGAGGCAAACTTTGAGCAATTTTGGGTCATAATGGCTCACAGTTTATTCAAAACGCAACAGGACTGTACGTCCTCATGTCTATTTAGCCCTTCCGTTGTGTGACCTCTATGCAGACATACATTTTAAACTAAGGACAATACATTGATAAAAGGGCTGTGTTAGCTCAGTGGTCAGCACTGCAGTTTTGTAATCTGGGCCTGCAGGTTTGATCTTAAGATGTATCAGGAAGTACAGGAAAACAATTGTCAAATCTTTTGTGCAGGTTCACTTGCTGTGACAATCCCTAAATAAAGGGAGCAGCCAAACAACAACAACAACAACAACAACAACAACAACAACAACAACAACAACAACAACAACAACAACAATGTCTGAATGTCCCCTGAGCCATTTTTAAAATGCTGATTAGTAATTTTTGAAGCCAATACTTCAGAGAGAAAAAAAATCAATTGAGAGCAGCTCATCAAGATGTACTTACAACACAAGAGTCTGCACATATATAAAATATGTATAAAACATAAACATGCTTACATATGCTAACATAAACAATTTTTATTACTATGGATTTGTTTTTTTGTTTGTTTTAATAGTAAATATGAATGGTTTATGTTACAACAAATACTAAATAACAAGTAAATAAATTAATAAATAAATTATATAATAGCCCACAGCCAATCAGATACTACAGCTTAGGTAGGTTGTGTTAAGAAGAATTCCCCATCCAACACTATCACCCACACACAAGATTCTGATTATGTAAAAATACACGAATTAGTTTAATTTTGCAGCTTTATGCAAGTTAAATTGTTTTAGTTGAATACTTTTTGTGTCTCCTTTCAGCATGTGTCAATCACTGCATTATTATCATCATCGCTGGGGTTTCCCCATCGTTCCATCACAGCTCGTCTTTCAGTGCGGCGGCACTATTTAGGATCCTTTTTGAGTCCGCCTGCGCGGAGTGATCCACGTGTGTGAGAAGGCTCCGCTTGTCAGTCAGACTTTGAACTGTGCACTGGCGCTCAGCATCATCATCATCATCATCACCATCCCTGGCTGTCTGTGACCGCTGTTTGTCATCAAAGACGCTGCCGACTGACTGACACTTTTAAGCGTCGAGCTCACGTATTAAAGATTAGGATGAACAGTTGCTGAGAGAGGAGGAAAAGCCGGGGAGCAGCTGTTACAGTAGGGACAGAGATTTAAACCTTAGCTAACGCCGTCTACGGTCACGTTACTCGGGGAGTTAAAGATGGTCCAGTCCGGGGATGTTTTTTTAGCCTTGCTTCTCGTTGGCTGCACAGGTAAGACTCCTTTTTTTTATGTGTTTTTAAGACGGATATTGTTGTATTGTTTCGCTCTGCTGTGACTACCCCGTGTATTTCCAGCCTGGTCAGGACCACAGGCAGTCTCTTGCTCCCTCCGCCCGCCGGCTCTCTTATTTAGCAGGTGCGACGCTGAAGGTGCTGCGGCTGCTCTTAATTAGCTTACAGGCGAGCTGTTTGTCAAGTAAAGACAGGTCGCTTGCTAATGTGCTACGACGTTTCTTTTGGCACACACTTGCAGCTGGCTGCAAAACGCTTTCCCTTTTTTTAAAAAATTAATTAATTCTTTATTTTTATTTTATTTTATTTGCGTGACCGGACCCTGCGCTGACTTGGCATTATTATTGTGCATTAAATAAAAGATGGTGCAGAGTAGCTGGCTTGATAATATGTGTGTGGAGAAACGTGGCTCCGGGATGCTGTGCTTTTTGGTCGTGTGTGGACGTGGGCCGATGATGTGTCTCTCACTCTGCTTGGATGGGACGTGTTTGTTGATGTGGGTAGTGATGCTGTGTGTTTTTGCGGACACGGACACACGCACGGCGAGCCTTCTGGGTTTGTAGGTAAAACAGTAAAAACAACAACAACAACAGCAACATTTGACTCGCAACCTGCACGACGCACCGAGGAGGTGGTGTTTACAAGAGATCTGAACAATATCAAGAGTTGATCGGGGACACTCGTGGGTTATATGTGGTCCCTCTGGCACACTCGTGCACAACAAGCACAACTTCTACTCTGAATCATCTGTTATGTAATCCGATGCCACGATACAGGCTTTGAAATGAGATCCTCCAAGTTGTTAAATGTGTCATTACGTAAGTTTAATTGAAGGGAATTTGGGTGAAATTGCGTTTTAATGACATTTGCACGCACCCTTTCTGATATATATATATA